CTCCTCCTCCTCCTCCTCCTCCTCCTCCTCCTCCTCCTCCTCCTAATGTTCTTAAGTCACAAATTAAGACACTGGCAACACCACTTCAATAACCAAAAGTCAGGGACCACTGGTCTGGGGTCCTTGGGATGTGGTTGTTGTTCATTTTTTTCCCGCTTCTCCAACAGTGCCAAAGGCACAGAGGCTGCTCAGTGGAGATGGAAAATGGGGCCAGAACTGAAATGTCACGGTGTAGAGATCAGCTGATCGGGGCTGGGGATCCCCCAGATTTCCATTCTAGCATTCCTGGAAAAGATGCCCTATAAGTCTTGTGTTTGGGGGATTCCAGAGCCTGGATGTCTGTTGTGAAGTATCTCAGAACCTCAAGGAAGTGAAAAAGAGGGGTGACCTCTTGACTTATCTTTGGCTGTGAAATGACAGAAAACCCCTGTCCTCTGTCAGGGGCTTCCCACTCACAGCAGGCTTTGCCTTGATGGGTTTTCCTTGTAGGAAGTGATCATCACATGCTGACATTTTAAACATTGTGTAAATAAAGAATTACAAAGTGAGCACCCCTCTATGCACTACTTACTCATTTTTTATGGTGCTGTGGCTTGAACTCTTGGGCATGCAGGCAAGATCTCAGTCCCTGAACTATGCCCTCATCTCCCAACCATTCAGTTTCAGGTCTAGGATATTGTGAAATACCTTTGAAACCCTTGAGCCCTTCCCTCACCATAACGCCTTCCTCTCCATAAAGGTAAATAAGCATGAAATTGAATTTTGTGTTTACAGGGGTCTTCCTTCTCCAGGATCTTGCTTTCCATAATTTCAGTTATCTGTGGTAACTTTGACCCAAAAATACTGAATGGGAAAAAAATTCCAGAAACAAGTAATTCATCCATTTAAAATCGCACATTATTCTGAGTAGTGTAATGAACTCTTATGCCGTCCTGTCTAGAACCTGAATTCTCTTGTCCTGTGTGTCCTGGTATAGCTTCTGATTGCTAGCCGTGTGGCCACCTCTGTTCCCAGATAAGCTGTGTGATATCATAGGTCTTGCCTTTAAGTCTTCCCTATTTTCTTAATGGCTCCGAAGCACAAAGGTCTTATATCTGGCAATTTTATCACAGTGTGTGATTACAATTGTCCCTACATCCCTCCCCCCGCCACACCCCTGTTTTCTGTATTTCAGAGTAGCCTGGAACTCACTATGTAGCTTAGGCTGGACTCTAGCCTCTACCTCTGCCTCACAAGTGCTGGAATTATAGGATGAACACTCCCTGCCCCCACTTGCTTTATTTCATTAGAGTTTTGTTTTGTTTTGTTTTGCTGTTGTTGTTGTTGGTGGTGGTGGTTTTTGTTTGTTTTTTGTTTGATTGCTTTTTTTTTTTTTGCTTGCTTGCTTGTTTTCTGTGCAAGTGATGAATCCAGGGCTTTATAATTGCTAAACATATGTTTTCCCATCGAGCACCACTGCCAGCCCTTTATTCTTAGCCATTCTTTGTAATCTCCTACTGTGTCTATGTTATAGATCAAGCTTTCTCTTAAGCATGTATAGGAAAAAGATCACATACAGGGTTGGCACTCTCTGTGATTTCAGCCATTCCTTAAGTCTTAGATCCTCTGAGGATAGGGGACTGCTATACAATCCTCTGACTGTCTTTGTACATGTGTCTATGAACCCCTAATCTGTACACTGCTGAGGCTCGCGTCTTCCTGTAAGCTTTGGATGAATGCATTCATTTTGCCTTTTCTCTTTCAACACCGGGTCAAAAATTCATCCCTCAGCAGTGTGTTCATTTTCGCTGCCAAGAAAAGATGAGATGATGGAGATACCATCCTTCCTTCATTCCTTTCCATGCTTCTGTGTCCCAGTAGCACGGCTCTGAACAGTCACGGGCCTCTCCTCTGGTGTTCATGTCCAAGAGTCTTTTCTATCTAGGAATGCAGTCGTTGGAGAACAAGAACATAATCACCTTTGCCAGCTGTGCCACTTACACTCCCTTTGCAAGCCTGAGAGCTACAGAGGCACCATACCCTGGCTTTACCTGATCCCAGAGGTCAGGGGTCTAGATGCCTGGAATCCCCTCGATCTCAGCTTCCTCACGACCAAGACTACAAATGTCACCTTCAATGGTAGAGATTTTCTTAAATAAAGTTAATGTACTTCTCCAAACTGCTCTTAAGCACCCAGTGTGCTCAGCAAAGTTAAGGGGACACTGAGGGGAGATTTGTTTTCAAGATGTTTGGGAAGTCAGGAAGACATGGGCATAGATACCAACTCTGTGTTCTTTTCTCTTTACCACTCACTCCCTGTACTTGGGTTATGGGGGACACAATGCCACGCCATCTCCTAAGCTCCTACACCAACATCCAAAGATCTCCTGGGCCGCTCTTCCTAAGACTTTAAATTCAAATGGGTATTGGGGGCAGCAGACCATCTGACAATGCCGAGAGAGCTCCCCAAACCGAGAATTAATTATCAGGTTAAAATATCAAGAAACCCTCTGTGGTCTATAGCCAACTTCCTCCCTAAGCCCTCTGGAATTCCTGGTCCTCTGAATCCCTGGCTCGACTCATCAGCTCTGGCAATCACTTCTGACAGCTTTCCCTGCTAACCCCCACCTCCTGCACAATGTTAACTTTGACTAAATCCCCCTTCGTTTCTTTTGTAGATTACAAAAAATAGCCCCCTGGCTCATGCCTTTAATCCCAGCGCTTCCAGGCTTTAGGAGGCAAAGACAGGTGGATCTCTGGAGGCAATTACGCCATCTCTGACTTCTCATTCTGTGGGTTGGGTAGAACCCATCCTTCTTCCAGCAGGGCCTGCAGTAGCTGTTGGTTCCGTTTCTGATCTCTCAGGGAAAGTAAAATTCCCATCCAGGTACCTGATCCTGGCTTGACCTGATCAGTCAGGAGGTAGATTCCCGCGTGGAAAGCAGCTAGTGCTGCACCCACCCAAATGGGTGCCCACAGGTGGTGTCCGAGTTGCCTTAAGTTGGTGCAATATTAGTTTCAGTTATCTATGGCCCTCATTCTTCCTGGAGGAGCAAAACTGCTTCTATGGTCCAGTTAAGCCCTGCCCCTTAGCCTACGGTGGGGTATCAGAGAGCAGGGTCCGTGCCTTTGGTGCATATATTTTTAAAGCTGTGTGCACTCCCTCCCTGTTGGCGGGTTTGAGCCTCATCCCCTGTTGGGAGAGGCTAGCTTTCTAGGGGATGTTTCTCATGAGTGTCTGCTCATCTCACCAGAGTCAGAGAAAGTTTCTGATTCCTGGGGTGTTCTCTAGGAGTCCCCACTTCCTCACAGCTGCCGGCACTCTACACCCGAGATTACGGTACCTGCTCTAACTTTTCTGTTCAGCTTTCAGCTATTGGGTTTCTGCGGACTAAGTCGATTTCCAGGCAGCGAGCTCAGCCTGACCCCGATCTTTGGGTCCCGCCCCCTGCCCCACTCCCTGGCACTCCGGACCGCGACTCGGAGAGAAGACGCGGTCCGGCGCCAAGCTGGTCCAACTGGTTCTGAACAGGAAGTCTCCCGCCCTCGCCCCCAGCAGCAGTGCAACCCCGCGCTAGCCCCGGCTTCGGTGCAACCCGCAGTTCGGTGGACAGTCCCGCAGAGCGGCCGCGCTGGAGACCCGCCCCGGCGGAGCTCAGCGAGGCTTTGTCTAGGGCGCCCACACCCCTGAGGCAGCTTCTGGGGCCGGCGAATGGGAGCGCGGCGGCGCGGGGCAGAGCCGGGCTGAGATAAGCGGCCATGTGACCCTACCTGGCGCGGGGGAGGGGCCGCAGGTGAGCGGCGAAGCGCGGAGCTCGGCACGCGGCGGCCGCGGGGCTCGGCAGCATGTCGATCAGCAGAAAGAACTGGTCCGCGCTGTCCAGGTGAGAGTGGTCCACCGAGGCTGGGTGGACCGGGGCTGGGGTGTAGTCTCGTTTCTTCGGATCTCCTCTCCGGGACATAGGCCTGCTACCTTGGCGGAGCGGGACCCTGGTCATGTTGCTTTTCGTGGGGATAGACTTGCGACCAAACTCCCGACTCCTTAGGTGACAGGGAGGGTGGTCTCCCTGCTCCGCAGCTTCCTGTCCCCTTAGGTCGTAAAGAATAGGCTAGAAGAAGGCTGGTCCGCAGCCTGGACAGCCCGGGGTGCCACTGTCTGTGAGGGCAAAGGAACATTTTACGGGGCTGGGAAGGTCCAAGAGTTACCCTAAGCCTTATTCTTGAGTGGACCCCCAGTCTCTGCTCCTCTCTAAAGAGTTTTATAGTAGGCCTAGGGAGTGTCCTTTAGCCCCATCTAATGGAGTCAACAGAGCCGGAATCTGTGACTAGGGTCACCGAAAGCAGCCCCCCCCCATCCTAAGAGAGGCTCAGATTCTCAGCTCGCATTTGGGGTGACGTCTACGCTGGGAGCAGGATAGTTGCTATCCCTTTCCGTGCTGCACCTAAGTTTGTGATCTGGTCCCAATGGGTCAGAAACTGTATATGCTATGCCTGCCTGCTGGACAGCCTATCAGGGTCAGAGCAGCTTGGGAGGGGTGGGAACCTAAGAGGCAGCCCCTCTCTTTGTGCCTCCTCTTGGAGCTGCCCCCTCCCTCTCCAGAACCGTTGAAATGAGCATCTTTCCTCCCACGTCCTTCCACTGAGTCCCTAACTTGGAATGCATCCTTTGTCCTAAGGGAGCAGAGGCCCACACTGGAGCCCTGCTCTTCCTATTTCTTAGGCTCCAGTCAGGGTAAAGTTGGCCTCTTGTCTTCTCTCAAGTGGACTTTAGGTCTTCAGGCCTACTATGGGGTCAGAGCTATCTTGTAGGTGCAGCCTAGCAACACTCTAGCAGCAAGGGTACCATAACCTTGCTTATCAAGGCATCTCTCACACATTTCCACCACCTAAAGACTGCTGCCCCTTGGGGTCTCCCTAAGGGCTTCAGAGGGTTTCGCTTTTTTCTTTCTTTCTTTCTTTCTTTCTTTCTTTCTTTCTTTCTTTCTTTCTTTCTTTCTTCCTTCCTTCCTTCCTTCCTTCCTTCCTTCCTTCCTTCCTTCCTTTCTTTCCTTTTTTTCCTTTTCTGTCTCAGTCTCTCACAGAATCTCATCCATGTGACCTCCTCAGACCCTTCGGACCCTGCTCTGAGGTATGGGTGCCCTCAGTGTTAGTACAGAGAGGCCCATGGTATATAGAGAAGGGGAAAGGTAAGCCCGAAGGAGGGTGAGATCCACTGCTCTGGAGAGGGAACCCAGGCTACCTCAGAGGTCAGACACACCCCAGGGAAGGTATGTGCCGAGGGTGGAGCTGGTGCGGGGGCAAGGCCATGGACTCTGCCTGTGGGTCAGTGTGCGCGGGGTTGGTGCAGGAGTGTCTTTGTTTCTGGGTGTGGGCTCGTTAGTGCCTATGAATGCATGTTCAGATACAAGAAGTGCAGCTTCTGTGTGGGTGAGCATGTTTATGGCCTGTGTAGAGATGAGATGCCTATGTGGGCAGCTGAGTTTGCTCCCAGTAAGTTCCATCTAAATGGTTGCTGCAGATGTTAGAACTGCATATTAGGTTATAAATACAAAACAGGGCTCACTTCCTAAAAGTGTCCAGACTGCTGAGGGTGTTTGTGATTTTATTCTATTTACTTAATTTTTTTTGTTTAAAAGCCTCTCTCTCTCTCTCTCTCTCTCTCTCTCTCTCTCTCTCTCTCTCTCTCTGTGTGTGTGTGTGTGTGTGTGTGTGTGTGTGTGTGTATTTGGCTGGGGGACTAGGAGTTTTAATGGAAATGAGGTCTGGCCGTAGCTTGTCCGCTGCTCAATTGGACATAGACTTTTGTGGCTGCAGGGGTGGGGCTGAGTTCCCGTGGGATGTCCAGGCTAAGTGATAGTGAAGCCTTGGGGAACCAGTCCTGCCACCGGAAGACCTAGTCTGGCCTCCCTGCCCAGTCCCAGCCTTCATGGAACCCCGTGGGCAGAGGCCGCTGCTGCCAGCAGGCTCCCTGATGAGACACCTGGAACGGAGGACCGCTCCTGTTCTCTCTGAATGAGCAACAAGCCCCAGCGGGCTGCAGGAAAGGGCTGTGAGTCACCAGCAACCGAGCCTCCCAGGCTGGGGAGGCCTGTGCTGAGGGTGTGACAAGGGTGGCCTTAACTAGAACCAAGGCGAAGATGTGAGCCTGTATTCGCTGTTCTTAGCCATGAGGCTCAGGAGCTGCAGACCTGGGGTAGGGCAGTGGAGAGCTGCTTGCCCTGGTCAGTCTTGTCCTTTCCTCCAGTGCTGACCTGGTGACCAGTGAGGATCTGCCAGCCTGTCTGTGGGGGGTGAGGGGTGGATCCGAGAGCACGGGGACTAAGTGGCCAGTGGTTAATCATTTCCTTGCCTGGCCCTTAAACAGCCCTCTCACCTCCCGTGCTTCTCTGGATTCTCCTGATACCTTTCTTTAGACTGTCTGGGGGCAGAAGGGACCTCAGACCATCCGCAAGAGCTCGTCAGCATGTGGAGGGGGAGCCTGAGGCCCGCCTGGTCAGGAGCTGAAGGTTGGCCCAAAGTCACAGCCATCCTGAGGGCCCGTCCATTGTTCTCCCCTCCCCAGGCCCAGCTCTTTGAGCCTCAGGGTTCACTAAGTGCTTCTGGGGCATCTTCACAAACCCTCTAGCTACTTAAATCAGAGCAGCTGAGCCTTCATCTGCCCTGTAATTGGCTTCTCTGTGACCCCTAGGGAAAGTGGGTTCTCTACTCGAAGTGTAACAGGGCAGTGATGTCTTTAGCCATCCATGAAAAAGGGTGGAGTTGATGAATTGGGAGTAAGGATGGATAGCAGCCTCACCTGGAGGTGCAGAGAGGGACGTATGTTCCCCCCAGGGAAGGCCAGGAGGTGGAGGGGAGTGAACAGCGAGCTGCTTGGCTGGGCTGCAGGGTCAGCTGCCAAGTCTCTGGGCTGTACGGCCAGCAGGTTCCACAGAGGGTCTGGCTCTAGGGCTCCATAGTTGCTGACTTTCCCCAAACTGCAGTTCTTGCAACTGCACCCTGAGCTTGGCTACCCCTGCTCCTGCTCAGGCCTCCTTTTCCTTCTGAATGCTCAGTTGTTAGGCTCCGATTTGGACCAGCACTTGCAGGGCATCTTTTCTGGTCCATGAGGGCATGAAGCTTTGAGACGGCGACTTAACTGGAAGGTCTCGGTTCCTTCTTTTTAGTAACCAAGCCCCGTTCAGAAAGTTATGAACTCTCCAAGCCTCAGGCTTCTCTGAGTCGAGTTGGGTAGCACCACCTTGCTCATAGCCATGTATGGATTAGCATCAGTGGTATTTGTAAAGTGCTAAGACCACCCTCCTTCATTCTTTCACTTATTGATTTGTTTTTCACCATATTTGAATTTCAAGCCCTGTTTTAAGCTCCCAAAATAATTGATTTATTTCTGGGGTTCCAGTAATTGTACCTGCTAAGGAAGCTGACCTTTGGCCTTCCTTCTCTTCCATTTAAGTCTATTTTTTTCCTTTACAGGCCAATAATCTTTGCTTATAGGAGATAACATTCTTCTCCTGGGGTGGGGTGAGGTAATGAAAGGACTCATGTTTTGCTGGGTGTCAGGAGGTTTCTGAGTAGCAGGTGTTGGTGACTACATCACCCTTCTTGCATGTTGGGGGTCTGGGCATAAAGCTTGAACACACTAAAGGACACCTGGCCCCGACTTCTGCAGATAGCTCTGTCCCAAGCTCGTCATGAGTCATGTTTGAGGAGACCTGGTTCAGGCTGATGACACAACCACACAGGGCCCCAGAGGGGGGCAAACAAACCCCCTGCTTCCCTAAGGACAGTGAGCAGTCTATGGGAACGGTGTTGCTCATGGTCAAGGAATCCTGGAGGCTCCAACCCAGCCCTGCTGAGTGTGGGTTGGGGAGTGTTAACTTTCTTCTGGATATGGACCTTCTCTGGAGTGTAGAAGTTGTTCCCAAGCTAGGAATGGGGTAGGTGCATGCAGAGTGAGAGAAGGGACAGTGTCCCTATTTGCAGGGCCAGCCAAATTGGTGGAGGAGAGGTGGAACACCATAAGAGACTCAGAAGAGACCGTAGGTTTGTGTGCAGTGTGGGGGTGAATGAAGAATAAGTCTGTAAACATTCAGCGATGTGAAGGCCCAGGTCACACACCTGCTTAAGACCCATGGTCAAGGCCATAAAGAAAACCCCAGCCTTTTTCCGTTTGCACTGAGGCAGGATACAACTGTGACTCAGATGAGCAGAGGAACTGAGGTTGCCCTCACAATGGTGGCATTTTGATATTCCAGAAGGTTCTCTTCTAAGGTAGCTGCTTTCCTTGAGGCAATGAGCAGACACCCCCTTCCCTATTCAGAGAGATGGGGCAGATTGCCTTCAGGGGTCCCCGACTGCCTCCCTCTGTGCATTCTTCTGCATCAAGGCGGAAGTCGGAGACTTCTCAGGAAGAGAAGAGTCCTGGATTCTGCCAGGGACAGTTGCATTTGTTCCTCTGCACTTGTGGGCACTGGCAGTGTGCTGGTCTGCATGTCAGATGCCCTCTACACTCATGGGCACTGGCAGTGTGCTGGTCTGCATGTCAGATGCCCTCTATACTCATGGGCACTGGCAGTGTGCTAGTCTCCATGTCAGATGCCCTCTGCACTCGTGGGCACTGGCTGTGTGCTGGTCTCCATGTCAGATGCCAGAGGTCTTCCAATCTGCTGTTCCGTCCTTGCTCCTGCCCAGCTCCTCTGCTGGCTGCCCCTAGCCTATCCTCTTCCTCTGAGCCCCAGTTCTCACACTGAGGCTTTGTACTCACAACCCCCCTCTGGGACCCTGTGCCACCAGACATGACCCTGCTGTCTCCTTCTCTTGAACCAGGTCTGTACACCCAAGCATTTCTCTCATTCCAGGCGAGTCTAATTGTTTTGTCCTGGGTTTGCTTCCTTGCTTGTTGTTTGACTCGTCTAACCTCCATGAAGGGAGATGTGTTATTTTCTTGCCTGTTGGACTTTAGCTCCTAGAATCATGCCTAACCTGTCGGCCCTCAAAAAGCACTGGGTTAGTGATTGTTGGCTGTATAGATAGGATGCTCAGCCCGGGAGAGCAATCCTTTTCTAAAGTGAAAAGGGGAAGGTAGTGACTTGCCCAAGAGCACCAGAACTAGACCAGGTCCTGAGGCCGACACATACCAGAGGCCCACACATACGTTTCGGATGCGGTGCAGTGTGTACAGAGTGTAGGTTTTGTAGCAGGGCTAGTGAGGAAGTAGACATAATGAGAGGGACAGGGCCCCCCTCCCTGTCTAAGGTTTTGATTTTTGTCTCTTGTTGACACCCAGGAGTTTTGTCTTTTGAGTTTTTTGTTGTTGCTGTTGTTTTTTAACATTACTAACAAACCAGTTTAAAAAGACTTGTACACCCCGTTCTGGGAAATTCATAGGTGAAATAGGTAAACATGGCTAGCATATTATACCTTAAAAGCAACCTCATTGTAACATATGTAGAAGTAAGAATGTTTTTTATCTCTGTTCTCTTCTTCAGCTGCAAGCCAACACACCTGCCTTTCAAAAGCTCTGTCCAAAGGACAGAAGGAAGAGGACTATGCCAAGGCATACTTTCCTTAATACCCAAACTTAGTTACAGAGTAAGGGTGCCATTCATTAGAGCCATTAAGTGTTTCTTTGTCGTTTGTCTGGTGGATGGAGAGAAAGTGGGCAGGGGGTGGACAATAGGTGGGTTTCTGGTAGAGTAGATGGATAAAGATGGTGAGAGGGACAAGTACACGGGTTGGTTGGATTGCCAGATGCCTGGCTGGCTGCATGAATGAATTAGTGGGAGGCTGTTCGGCTGCCTGAAAGTGTCTAGTTAGCCCCACAAATGCGAGGTCACAGGAGTGGGAACCAGACATAGAGTATGTGGTGTTCCGTTGCTGCTCCCGGCAGGTAGAACATGGCTTTAAAAGTTGAGGGAGGGCCCTGAGAAATGGAAGGATGTAGTGGTTTTCTCTTGGTCTCATTTGTGAGTTACCCTTACCCCTACCACCAGAGGCCAAGGGCTTTTGTGCAGAGTGAACAACTTTGAGGCAATTCCTCAGTTATTGTCTGTCAAGAACTCAGAAGAGTAAGGACCTTGACGAGGTCACCTTTTTCCTTCCGACAACCATGCCACCTTCCCTGTTCCCATCATCCACAGACCTTCTACTCCCACAGGAAAATCCAACACGGGAGCATTGGTGTCCCAAGGGGCTATTTGGTAATGCTGGAGGATGTCTTTGGTTGTCCTAAATGGACACTGCTGCTATTGACATCTAGTGGTGTTGCTTGGTACCCTTGCAAGGCAGCTCCTTACAAAGAATTATCTGGCCGAAATGTCAGTAATGCCAACCAGGAGACACTCTGGTCTAACTAGATCCATGCAAGTTGTTTTTTTTTAAAAAAATATTTATTTATTTACTTATTATGTATACAATATTCTGTCTGCAGACTAGAAGAGGGCACCAGACCTCATTACAGATGGTTGTGAGCCACCATGTGGTTGCCGGGAATTGAGCTCAGGACCTTTGGAAGAGCAGGCAATGCTCTTAACTGCTGAGCCATCTCTCCAGCCCCCCCCCCCCACATTCTTGTAAGTTGTAAAGAAAGGAACTGCTTTGAAAGATTAAATTTTCCAGTAGTCACCTTAAAGAAGTAAAAGGGAAAAAAATTAAATAATGTATCTTATTTGCTTTAATACATCCCATAGTGATCATTTCAATATGGAGTCAACATATACTTTTTATCTTTCTTTCTTCTTTTGATACAGACTCTCACTGTGTAGCTCAGAGTAGCTCAAGCCTTCTAGCTAGCTGGAACTGCAGGCCGTCACAGAGAGTTACACTGTTGCAGTGAGAAATTTTTCCACTTTGTTCTTCATCCTGGGTCTTTGAAATCTGGTGTGCATTTGTACTTACAACATCTCTGCCCCTGCCATCTGCACTGCAGTGCCCCAGGGCCGCTGGCCACAGGGTTGCCTGGAGGCAATTGTCTTCTCCAAGCCTGTGGGAGTCTGGGTAGGGAAGGTGTTTCCTGGTCTCTGGGCTGTGCTGATGCCTGCCTTCTTCCCCTAGCCTAGCCAGGCAACGGACTTTGGAGGATGAAGAGGAACAGGAGCGAGAACGCAGGCGGAGGCACCGCAACCTGAGTTCAACCACAGACGATGAATCTCCAAAAGTCACCCAGAATGGAGCTCAGAGATCTGTGGAGAGGTACGTGGTTGGGTTAGGATCTGAACATCATTTCTCCGTTCTGAGTGGAAGCAGGGGGCCTACCTGCCCCAGAAGACTATGTGAAATCTGTTTGGCCTGCTAGAGATTTTGTCCAGGAATAAGGTTGATGGCAGGAAGATGAAATTTAAGTTCCTTGCCATCCTCAACCCACGCATGGTCCCTACCCTCGTCATCACACTCATGGAGCTGTTTGGTGAGCCTGTTCATGAGCCCTACTCTGTTGGACATTTTATTTGTGTATGTGGTTCCCTCCATCCTCATGATGTCTGAGAGGTCACTGTTCATAACTTGTTTCATAAGAGGAGAGACTCAGGAAACATGCTTAGATAACTTGTCAAGGGCCTGTACCTAGTTGAGTGTGGCCATAGTATTATCCAGCTTTGTCAAATGTCCCTTAAACAGTCTACCTCCCCAGACTCTGACCGTCTCTATTCCAAGGGGGAACAAAAGGGAACCAATCTTGACATCTAGGTTGGGGATTATGAGGGAAAGGAAGAGAAGGACCCAGAACTTCCTGAATGTTGCCTGTGTGCTAGGACTTTGCTCTCATGGGATGGCTCTCGTTTCACCGCCTAACAAGCTCAGTTTACAGGTTTGGAAAGCTCAGACAGTAAGTTAACTTGCCTGAAATCACACGGAAAGCAGGGTGACAGGAGGCGTAGACTCCTTTGGCGAGAGACTAGGACCTCTGAGTTTCGCACAATTATTTTATGTTGCTCTTGTTCCTTTACATCTCCGAGTGGAAGAAGACCAGGCTGTGTTCCGTGAACTGATCCAAACCCAGGGCTGACACCACGTTTCACACATACCCTATGGAGGACAGGATAATAGAATGGGGCCTCAGAAGCCCTGGCTTTCCTTCTAGTTCCCTACCAGTTACTTCCCATGGCCTCCTCTAGGTTCTGATGGACAGGGCCTGAACTCACTCCTTTGAGCCCTCCTGGCCAATACTGCTCCAGGCCTAGAACCTATAATGCAGTTGCTTGATCACTGTTCGTGGTTGTGGATGAACAGGGAACCATTCTCTGTACACTGCACAGGCATCTGTGATTTTCACTAGAGCCCTGGGGTGCTTTGCCAAATGACCCTTTGGAAAGCAGTACACAGAATGCAGAAGAATGGTTATTTTTGAAATAGTGGTGGTGGGACAAGGAGAGCAGGGTCTGACTTATTTGCTTCCTCCTTGGTGGCCCTGGAGGCATCTCACTGAGTCAGCTACACCCAGGGTCACCCTCACTCTGGACGTCATCTGATTCTGTCCACCTTGTCTCCCTGTGTCTGTTGATTCAGGCTGCCCAGTGTGGAGGAAGCAGAGGTCCCCAGGCCATCAACCCCAGCCTCCAGAGACGAAGAGGAAGACATCCAGGCCATTCTGAGGACTCGGAAGGAACGGCGACAAAGGCGGCAGGTGATAGAGGCTGTCCAGGCTCCAGTGCAGGAGAGGCTAGAGGAGGAAAAGGTCAGCCCAGGCCCCGAGCAGACCTCGACACAGCCCCTTGTGCCTAAGAAGAAAGTGGAGCCTCTGCCCCGCCGGAGACTGAGCCGGGAGCAGCGAGGCCCTTGGGCTCAGGAAGAAGAGCCCCTAAAGGGAAGAGAGCTTGGGGGAGGGGGAAAGGAGCTTCCAGAGGAGGCAGAGGTCCAGCAGAAGACCTTGGTCTCTGAGAAAGCGCCTGGCCCAGAGAAGACTCCAGTGCCTGCCAAGAGACTGGCTTCAGAGAAAGCCTGCCCCTCAGAGAAGGGGGCAGCCGCAGAGAAAGCATCCCCGACTGAGAAGAAGCACAGCCCAGAGAAGTTGGTTCCAGAAAGAACAAATGTGTCAGACAAGTCGCCCGTCCCCGAGAAGACACTCCCGTCTCTGAAGACAGCAGCACCAGAGAAAAGGTCTGCTCCAGTTCTAGACAAAGCCGTGGTCTCTGAGAAGATGCAAGAGAGGAGGCTGGTGTCAGAGAAAGCATCCATCTTCGAGAAGTCACTAGTCTCAGAGACAAAGCTGACTCCAAAGAAGGCAACGGCCTCAGAGCAGCCCCCAGCCCCTGGAGGAAGCCAGGGCACCACAAGGGAGGCCAGAGGGAGGGCTGTCCCTGGGAAGAGCCCACCTTCCTCTGCAGAGCAGGGTACAACAGACCCTCCGACTAAAGCTTCTCGCTTCCCACCCATCACACTCCAGGTTGGCATTGCCCCTTTCTCCTTTGCCCTCCTTGGCAGTCCTGAGGCCTGTATCTCCCTTGTTTCCCCCTCTCCTCCCCTGTCGGGCTGGCCTTGGCAGTTTTTTCTCTCCTAGCAAGTCAGAATTCTTAACTACTGTCTGAATAGGGCATTGAGTCAGAGGCAGGTTGTTGGAACCAAAAGGGGCCGTGTGCAGAGTACCGGGGGTCTCCAACCACATTCTCATCCAGGTCCTAGACTTCAGCCCCCAAAGCCATTTATGTCTGTTCAGAGCCAGGGTAACTTTGTTCCCTGTCCACTACAGAGCCCGCCAAGGAAACAGGCACCCATCAAGCGCGGGAATCTCGGGCTAGATAGCAAGCTCTTAGACAACCTCGGATCTTTCCAAAACTAAAGTTCTGCCTGGTGGTCGGGCTACATGAGACCGTGCCATCACTGTATAGCAGGGGCGGGGGAGTGAGACATCTCTAGCTTCCGGGATGAGCCAAATCACCTGAGGGCCCCCTGGAAGTTTTGGCTTGGGGGCTTCTTGGGCTTAGGAACACCTTACCCTTTTACGGAGGAAGGTGAGTTCTCGTCTGACGCCTTTGCTCCACTCAGGTGAAAATTCCCAGCAAGGATGAAGAGGCAGACATACTCTCACCGACTCTGCTCACCTACAGCAGCTCCCTCAAACGCTCCAGCCCCAGGACCATCTCCTTTCGGGTAAGGGCAAGGTGGGTGGAGCCTAGTCATCAGTCCCCTGCAGAGCAGGCGAAGGAAACCAGGACCCATTAAGTTAGGTTACACAGCAGGAAGTCTCTTTAGACAGACAGGAGCTTTGACTTTCCACGGTGCCCAACGCAGAGACACGAGTCATTTTAAATAAAGGAGAGCAGGCTGGAGACCTAGAAAACGTGTGTGTGTGTGTGTGTGTGTGTGTGTGTGTGTGTGTGTGAGAGAGAGAGAGAGAGAGAGAGAGAGAGATACACACACGAGCAGTTCCACCTAGTGGATAAGATCAGGACTGCAGGAAGATGAACTTGCCAGAGCCAATTGGCCCGTCTTGGCTCTCTTGTTTCTTCCTTAGGAGGAGGAAAGGACAGAGAGCAGCAGGTTTCTCTGCCCCTTCCTTGCTTCCATGTGATGAGATTGGAAAGTCTCGTCTGTTTCAGGGCTTAGTCTTGGTCCTTTTGTTTACTGGGTCATCTGCTCATCCATTGGTTGAATGTGCCTTGTGTCTTGATGCATGCCAGGCCCTGGGGAAGAGGCCATATGCCTGAGGTTGACCAGTACCCTCAAGGCTCTTAATTAGTGGAGAGGCAGATAGGAACACAGGTCGTAGCAGGTACCTTGACTGGGGTGGGATGGTAGTGGAAGGGCTTTGAACCCACACAGAAGGGTGAAGTCAGGTACTTCCAGACTAAGACTTTTAATGAAGGCTTGGCACTTTGAGGGGGGCTTATTCTCAGGAAGAAGATGCATCCTGGGAGCTAGACTCCTCCCTGGGGAGGGGACATGGACTTGCCTAAGACCCTCACTTACCTTCTCATTTCAGATGAGCCCCAGGAAAGACAACTCAGAAACAACCTTAACCCGCAGGTGAGCTGCCTGGAGGCCTGACTCTTGTTTTTGGTTATGTGTTTACCTCTTCTCACCTGCCATCAGTGTACCAGGCTATGCCACAGCATACATTAGGGAAGGTGCAGATTTTGCCTGGGACTCTAGATCTGATGGGGCGACAGGATTGATAGGAGGTCCTGGGGTCGGTTGAGATGACTCTGGGAGGCAGTACTGTGACAGCTCGTGTGCTGTCGGGGAGAACTTGTCCTGTGGTCCCCGGGAGAGTTGCCTGGAGGAGACGCAGCTTTGATGGGTCTCTGAAGAGGAAGGAGGCTTTGGTCTATCTCTTTGGGGTGAGAAAGGGTAAGAGAGCTTTCCAGAAGGGAGACTATAGTTAGGACAAAGAAGGAAAAGACTTGGCTGTGGCAGGCCCAGAGCAGTGACCGGGAACCTGCATGCTTAGTAACTATCCTTGTATCACCGAGCCAAGAAGATGGAGGATGGAACATTGCATGGGGGAGGGGGGCGGGGACAAAAATAAGATCTAAACGTTAGTGCTGGTGTTAAAAGTTTCTCCCACCTGTGCCGTACTTACCTATCTGTTAAACCTTTAATAAGGGCTTATGTTCCTAGGTCCAGGGCTGGGAGAGGGGACGGAGCAAGAGGAGAACAAAGACAAAACAGTGGCTAACCTCAAGTGACTCACTTGAGACCATTAAACCTATAGCCACCCAGGCAGTTAGATACAGGGTGAGCCGGGTATGGCGGGGAAGCACAGGGACTCTCGTGACCTCCCAGCCTGTGAGAATTGAGGTGAGTGGAAGGGACGGGGTGTGAGAGGAGGAGGCAGGAAGGGAACAGTGGGAAGCTCATCTGATCCTCAAATGCCCCTTGGAGTAGACAGGCTGTTCCTCAGGGGTGTGGAAGTTCCTCGAGTCTGTAAACTTCATCCTGACCAAGTCATTGCAATTCTCTCTGCAACAGAGGTGTCTTCATCAGTCCCTGTCCTCCCTCTTGGCCCGCAGGATGGGATATTAGGGGTTGTTCTTCAAACCCTGGGGAGGCAGGCTTGGCTTCCCTGGGGTGGGGCAGAGTCTAGGCTGGTTCATCTCAAATCTGTCTTTCCATCCTACAGCGCCAGTGTGAGGCTGCCAGCTAGCACGGTGAAGCTGGGAGAGAAACTGGAGAGATACCACACAGCCATACAGGTAGGAGCAGAGGATTCCTCTGGAGCCCGTGCCAGGGTGGAGGGCGCTATTTGTGAACATTACAGCTATGGCTCAGCCTCTCTCATCTCTGATTTACAGAGATCCGAATCTGTCAGGGCTCCAGGCTCCTCCCGTACTGAGGTTCTTGTGACTCCTGCCGGTGTAGCCAGCAAGCGCCACCTCTTTGAGAAGGAGCTGGCAGGCCAGAACCGCACAGAACCAACCATCAGAAAGGTGAGGGCCAGGTCCCAACTGCTGGGGCTCTAGGCTGACATCCTTGGAGCCTGGGCCTCAGCCTCGGCAGTGTTAGAAACTGTATTGTTCTGATTGAGTCTTCTTAACTGGGTGCAGACCTCCCCAGGGTGGAACCTGTCCCAGCTACACATAGCTTGTGCTAAGTGGACGTTGTGGTAGAGAGATTCTCGTCCCCATTCTGGGGCCTCTGAAAGAGCCTTAGTGTTGTTCGGGACTCCAAACCTTAAGGTGGGAGTTTTCTTTCTAGGAGAATCTGCGACTGTCAGGGGTTGTGACATCAAGACTTAATCTGTGGATCAGCAAGACCCAGGATTCTGGAGACCAGGGCGCTCAGGTACCCTTCCCCACATATCAGGTCGGAGGAGGGATAGGTCCGACAGCAATGGGTCATTTCAGAAGTGGAGCTGGTGGCAAGGGGTATAGGGTAGAAACCCAACCTGTGGGTGAGAGCTGAGGAGAGGGGTGGGTCTGAGTCCTTGTCCCTTCAGGAAGAACAAAGACATTAAGAAGGGGCAGGTGGGGGTCCCAAGTCCCTCTTTACCTCTGAGTTCTCGGTCTCTACTCTGATCAGGAGGTACAGAAAGAGGCATCCGTCACCAGGAGGGCTCAATGGGGAAACAAATCGGCCATGTCCTTGGATGCCGAGGTGAGTGGGGCAGAAGGCACCCAGCCCTGAGATATGGAAGCCCCCCCAACCTATCCAAATGCACAACTCTAACTGGGTTGCCATTGAGTGGTCTGGGTACCCAGGTTCTACCCCCCTGTGTGTGCTTTAAATGACTTTCCCATGAGAGTAATAGGAGCCCTGTTCTGGCTTGGCTGAGCCGTAGCTTAGCAAAGCCTGCCCCATCTAACTGTAAGGTTTGGGGTACTTACCCAGTGTGGATGGGTGGAGGCTTGGTTGGCCAAAGGTTATCTTGTTCAGAGGTGCCCTCCCACTATAGTCCCATGAACCCCTTTTCCTTGTTCTAATTGGCCTTTGTCCCACAGGTGTGAAAGTCCTGCCAGGACAGACCTGCAGACGTGTACCCCAAGGACCTTTCTTCATGCCAGGCCCTGGCCTGCGGCACTCCTGACCCTTGCCATTCGCATTCCCTTTCTGTCCCTCAGCCAGGGTGGTCAGGGTCCCTGGGGGCCAGGAACATGAATGTCACCCTCCGGCCCCTCCCCAGCCCTGCCTGGTCGGGGGCAGATGTGCACTGACACTTTCTCCAGATGCAGGCACTCTCTACCCTGAGCCCAGAGGGACCCAGAACACAGCCTGGCACACCAGCCACCGAGTCTCCATGTCCTGTCGAGAGACGGCCCCTTTCTCCTGCTCACTGCCAGTATCAGGCTGGGGTGTTTTGCCAACTCCAAAGTTATCTGTCTTACCTGCTCCCAGCGGGTACTCTGTGTGCCTGTGACATTCCCGCACCAAGTCCTAGGCTTTGTCACTGCTCTCTGAGGCTTTTTCAAGCCAGACTGGAAAGGAGTCACCAGGCATTGACCACGTACTGCATTTCCCGCTTTGCAATGTCCCCCGCCTCCCCCTCGCCCTGATCCGGAGCCCGGTGCCTTTTTGTATTACCACTAGTCTTAATGTTCAGAAAAATCTTTTCTCAGGAAGGATCTGATAAACTCATTCATTCTCAGGCATAAGTGACTGGTAATGCTGATGGGTCTGTCCTGAAAGGTTTTGTGTTCCTTCTGGGTCAGCTGTAGGGAGAGGGGGTCACTGGCTTTGGTGAAAAGAACTCTGCTCCTATCTTCTGTCATATTAAGGTGGTAGGCTTGTCATCAGTGGTCCTAACTTGGTGATTTAATAGTTCGGACCTGGGCGCTGGAGAGTTAGCTCTGAGTTAAGAGCCCTGGCTACTCTTCCAGAGAAATCTAGGTTCAAGTCTCCGGCACCTATGTATTGACTTACAAATGTCCGGAACTCCAGTTCCAGGGGATCTGTGGGCCTTGCATGCACACGGTGCATGGTTCTACATGCAAGTAAAGCACACACAAAATAAAAACGTTTGAGAGTACAGAATGGCCGCATATCTTCACCCCATCTCTACCACCAGGCTTCCTCTTCCCAGGTCAGTACAATGGCCTCTTAAGTGTGTGTGTAGAATGCTGAGCCACCCCCAAACACACAGCAAACCAAGAAAGGCAGCCCAGTGCCCTGCAGCTCCATTGTGGCTGGAGTCTGTAGGTGGTCTGGAGTCGTTACAGCGCTTACTCCCAGTGGATTGCTTTGGTTTCACCTAGAACCAGCTTGAGGGAGAGCAGGTGCAAAGGCAGCCTGGGGCAAGCGCCCAGCTTCAGAACATGGCTAATAAGTCTCTGCGCCCCTAGTTCATGGGGCAGAGGCAACCAGTCCCACTTGTCTTTGTGTCTTGGGTGAATGCCCCTACCTTGGGTCCTACGGTCCAGAGGACAGAGCCCCTCAGATCCTGTATGTGCTCATTTATGAGTACCCAGAGCTGGCTTACCTCTGGGAGTCGCCTGCAGCTGCTCTCACACTTTTGCTGGGCTAGGTGGGGGGAGGAGGGGAATGACACTGAAGACACCCTGAAGACCTGCCTGGAACACCTTATACATCCTGCCAAGGATTTGATCTCTAATTGAGGGTGAGGGTTGTTAGGAATCTGGGCAAGGAGAGGTGGTGACTGTGTGCCACCTAGACAATGGAAGCAACTGCTGTAACTGCTCTGGTTCTGCTGGGCACCCTGACTCTGACCTCATGCTCCTCCCTTCTCTGAATCCCAAGAGTTCAAGCAGGTGATCTCACATGACTTTGGGATGTTCATGTTGCAGATTTGGGGTGGTGCCTTGGCAGGTGAACTTTCGTAGCTGGAAGAGCTGTCCTACAGACTCTTAGGAGAGGCTCATGGGTGCTCCCCTCAGACAGAGGAAGGGATGTTCATCAGATGCAGGCTCAAAGTGGTATGATCTCTGCCTGAATCCCCTCTTTGGGGGTGCCCATTGTGAGCAGGCCGCTGGGGAGCGTGTGGCAGCAGCTCCACTTCTCAGCTCCTTCTGCCGCCGGCTTTGCTCTGGAAGGAGCTGATGAACAAGGGTGTGAAGGTGGCTAGGGTTAGAGGGTTGTGTGTGTGTGTGTGTGTCTGTGGTGACATCTGTGTGTGTGAGGTGACGTCTGAGTGGTGTGTATGTGTGCATGTATGGTATATGTGTGTGTGCGTATGTGTGTGCGTGTGAGGTGACATCTGAATGGTGTGCATGTGTGCGCACGTGCGTGTGTGAGAGGTGACATCTGTGTGTGTGCGCGAGCGCGTGTGCGTGTGTGTGTGTGTGGGTGTGTGAGTGTGTCTGAGGTGACATCTGAGTGCCCCCTACCTCTCTGCTCTGCTGCTGCAATGGCTTGGGCACTGTCCTAGGACTTGTACCCCAGCATGCCTCAGCCCACATGCTTCATATCACCACATTTCTGATTTTCTGCCGAGTTGCCTGTTTTCTGTGATCTGGTCACTACAATTGTAATAACCATCCTCTAAGTTGCTTCTGGAGCCGCCCCGTTATACAGCAGTGTGGTTGCCAAGCAGTGACTGTTGGGATGACGTTCCACACCTAGGAACCCCAGATATGAAGAACCCACTGGTTTTCCAGGAGGAGGGTGCTCTGTGTGGGCTGATGCCCAGGTCCCTCTCTCAGGCATCCATGAAGACTGGCTATGGCCTGTCTGAAAGGTTATCTCTTGGCTTTCTTGGAAAGTAGTTTAAGTTCAGGGAGGGCTTAGGAAAAGCAACTCCTAAATTCCAGGAGATTCTAGACTGAGATACAATGCAACATGGGGCTTGGTGGGCTTAAATGGGAGGGGAGAGCTGGCTTCCATGCTCTTTATGAGGTCATCCTGGCTCCGTCTCATTATTCCTCTTAATATTCCCCCTCCCTCTGCCTTTCCCAAGCTCCCCGCCCCCAGCTTTTCTGAGCCCTCCCTTTCCTGGGCTGCTGCCCCTAGGGCTGTGGCTCTAGTTGGTCCTGTTGCTGATCCACTGGCAACACGGGGATGCACATGGCTCGGGATAAGCCTGGAGCTAGGGATCAAAGTCACTGGGCTCAGAGACTGCTAGGGACCACAGGAAGGGAACTGTGTCAGCTGAATAATGGGCAAGTTGGCTAGTAGGGTGGACATTTGTATGCAGAGGGTCCTCACGGAGACTTTCACACAGAGGCAGCCCTGTCCCTCTTAAGTGATGGAACTAAAGGAGAGGCTGGGAACATGGTCAGGAGAGAGGAGAAGGGCAGAGGCTGGGCGAGTCCGGTGTGGAAAGCAAGAGAATGAGTCACTAACCATGTCTGGAGGGGTCAGGGATCTCAGGAGTTGGGGCACCTGGGAAGCTGGGCCTGGTCCATGGAAGTATTTATTCTTCGACTGTAGGGCCTGCTGAGAAGACTGGAGGTGTGGAAGGAGGCAGACTGTGGGGAGACTCAGTTGCCTCCCAACTTAGTTTCTTTCAGTTCTGTCACACCCCGAGACCCCTCCTCCATACCTGTCACCCCTGTGGGCTGGTGGCCTTCAACATTCAGGCCACAACAAAAACTGGGTCCTGATCTTATGAACCTTCTGATCTAGTGGGCAAGCCGGACAAAGTTGCTCACCATGACCCCAGTCTCTAACCCCAAGGGGAGATCCAGTGATCCTCTGTACCCCACTCTACTCCTGTTGCCAGACTGTGGAGATTTGTTTCTGCTGCTCAGCCTCCTCTGGTAGCTGGAGACCACTCCCGTGAGGAGGACACGGTGTGTGGCTCGGGGCTCATGGAGACGACTTTCTGTGTGCTCTTCCCAAGGCCTGAGAGCCTGCCATCTACCTGAAACCACTTGGTTCAGCAGCAGCAGCTAGCAGGTGCCTTTCCCCCAGCTCTTGTCTTCTGCTCCCCAGGACCCGCCTAAGAGGCTCTTGAAGTGTCTCTGAGGTTGACATCTACCCCAACCCTGCTCCCAGCCCTCCCCCCTCTGGGCCTGGGCTTTGGCATCTGCTTTATCAGAATACTCAAGAGGGACAGCTGGTTTATGTTCCCAGCATATCTGCTCTGGTTTTAAATAGCTTATGTGAGCAGCTGGAGGCCCACATGAGCTTATATGGCGTGGGGTACTTGTTCCCTTAGCCCTGTGCCTGGCACCTGCCAAAATAGCAGCCAACACCCCCCATTGTGTCATCCCCCCCATCTCCTGCTGCACATTCCTCCCACCGCAGGGCTTGGCTCTCAAGGCCACAGCCCACATGCCTGCTTAAAGCCCTCTTCATGCCCTGCCTTCGGCCAGTCCCTGCCGAGGCTAAGCAGACACCCCAGGACCCGTGTGCAGTCCCTGTTCAGAGGTAAGACCAGAGGGAGGCCCTGGGAGAGGGCAGAGGCAGGTGGATTCGGCTCTGGCTCTTTTCCCCTGGTCTGTGCTTGCATCCATTCTGAGTGGTCCCAGGGTTGATGGGAATCCACGGCGCTGTTTCCAGGATAGACTCCAACCAGAGTGCTGTGGAGTGGGAGAGCCTGCATCCTTGATGGGAAGAGAATGGGAGGTCCTGATCGGCCACGAAAGATAGCGTGTGGTTTTGAAGTCTTGAGTAGATTGCTTTCCCTCCCCAGATCTTATTTTTTTCCATAAGTAGAACGGTCTAGATCATTGTTGGGCCACTAAATGCAACAGAACCCTAACCATCAGGGATCCCCAGATTGCTCAGTATGTCTCCTTCACTCTAGGTTAAGGGCCACCTGACTCTTTTTTTCTAGAGGCCCAGAGAGTAGGGTAAGACCTTGGCTATATTTGCCAATGAATCCTGGTAACTCAGCTCTCATGTCCAAGAACAAAGATGCTGCCCTGGAAGCAATGAGAAAGGTCAAACGTCCAGGGGCATGTGGGCCTAATGGGGTTTCTCCAAGCGGATGCTCTATATCCACTGGGCATCAGGGACTGGGTGTGTGTCCACTCCTGGAGGAAGTCAAGGGTGGCTAGCATGGGGTGTGTGTGTGATGAGTCCTGATCCCTTTCCCAGAAGAGGGGAACTAAGCTTGTCAACATCGGAAGGGCATTCCTGGGACCCACTGGGTCCCTTCCAGTGTGACCCTTGCCCCATCCCAACTTGCCCTTAGGGTTGCTCTTGTTCTGTGCCTTTGTGTTATAGGCAGGTTTTCTGACTTCTGGGTGCAGTGAAGGATTGTTTGGGAGGTAATTGCTTGGAGGCTAAGAAACGTCCAGCACATTCCACAGGGAGTTCAGCTGGGAAGCCACCTGGCCTCCAGGATTCCTCCTCTGACCCTCTTCTCACAGGACAGGTCCTCCTCTGAGCAGGAAAATCTGAGGGGATTGAGTTGCCTACGCCCCGCCCTTTCACCCTCTGCTGCTTCTTCAGCTAGTGTTCTGGGCTAACAGCTGTGGCTTTAGGAAGATCCCCAGTTCAATGCTTTGGACAAGGGCCAAAGGACAGAGCCTACACTCCTCAGAAACTGCAAGGCTAGAATCTGAAGCTGATCTATTTCTTAGGAAGATTAAGCAAAAGTTCAGAAACATTTAGGGACTTGCCTAAGAATGCACAGTAAAAGCTGGGTTTAGAACTCAGATTTTTTGATCCCCGAAGAGAGTCCTCTTTTGGCTTCTGTTGTTTTGCTTTATTACCCATGAAAGGTGACCCCTGACAGATGGTAAGAAGCTGGAGGAGGGTAAGGTTCTTGGGACATGCTCATATTCTTTCCTCCAGCTCCCCCATCTCCTCTCATTCTGTAGCCCTCAGGTTCAGTCTCCCCACTTTTTCTCCCTAGTCTACCTGGCTTAGGTGTGCCCCTCGGCTGAAAACACTCCCCAGACTCTGCAGTCTGTGGTCTACGTTCTATTTTGGGAGCTAGATGGTGTTCCTGGGGGCAAGGTGGGGAGTCCAAGTTGCTGCTACCTTCTCTGATCTCTGCAAGATGCCCAGTGGCTCTAAGCTGGTGGGAGGGCAGGAGAGAAGTTGGCAATGATAAGCCTTTGGGGAAGCCACACACCTCCCCCCAAGAACTTTCCCCATCACCCCGACACCCCCAGGCTCCTCACAAGTTCTGACTACTCCCTCAAAGTTTGAACTAGGTGGGTCTGTTATCAGACTTCTGGGCTCAGGAGTGGCCATACTCATCCTGAGATCCAGGTGGAGGCTGTCCGGTGTTCAAGTCTCCTCTCAGTAGAATACCGCCCACTTGTTGAGACACCTTACATATTTGACGTCCCTTTTCCACTTTCTTATGGCAAGGTCGGGTGACATGCTGCACAGGGCTGCTGTCCAGAGTTCCACTTGAGCAGGGCCCCACCCCACAACTGTCTGTCCTACTCCAGCAGAGGGAGCAGAGCGGGGGCGGGGGGGGGGGACGGGGGACTTGTGCACTTGTCCCCAACCAAGCAGGCCTGGACCAATCCCAAGTTGCAGAGAGTTCTGAGTCTGAAATTGACTATGCTCAGAGCATCCGGCCAGTGCTGGCTTTCCGAAAACCACCCAGTCTCGAGGGTGGCTTTGACTCAATTCAGCAGCACCTTGCCTTTCATGGTTGCCCATAGATGTGAGCTTGGGGTGGGTCTCAGCCCACTTCCCTGCATTGGATATACAGGGAAGGCTGGGGAAGGCAGGGGCGAGACTATCCATGTCCCACCCTTTACCCTGGCAACATGGATCAGACTGCAAGGGGTGGCTTCATGGTGGGCAGGAAGCACCATGTGGGGTGGTCCTGCCAATCAATATGTTCCTGTCGCTCCTGAGGCCACCACATTGTGTGGTCCTTCTTCCTTCTAACTCCAGTGTCAGGAAGGTTATGTTGCAAACAACAGGGAGCATTGCCCACATTTCAGGCAACGTGATGTTGTCTCTGGGTTAGGCACTGATATGCCTCCAGGAGGTGGGTTATAATAATGCAGGTTGAGTTTGCTCTCGGCCCAGGCACTTCACAGACTCTAATATGTTCATTCTATCACATACACCGCAGGGGAGGAGAAATTTCCCAAAAGGAATTATGGTGTAGGAAAATGAAATGACCTTTTGAAGGTCACACTCAAGGTCACCAGATGACTCTCATACTGAACCCTTGCTCTTCCACCTTTCCCTGTGGCATCTTATAATTATGAGTGCACATAATCACACCCGGTCATGCCTGGGCATCTACTCATTAATAGCTGTGGGGTCCTCATAGGGTCCCTTAGCTGGGATGTCTGTACTCCTTCCATCATTCAGAGAGAACCGAGGTTCAACTGTGCTACAAACACACCAACATCTCAGCAAACTAACAGAAGAGAGCCTGAACCCAGGGCTGTCCCTGCAACCGTTACAGGAATGGCTCAGCCAGTTTCCCAGGGACGCTGTAAAGCTGGGATCTTTATTGAGATTGGGTGGATTAATACGCACATCTAAGAAATACTGCCAAAGGGCTGGAGAGATGGCCCAGCAGTTAAGAGTGCATGTTTGAGGGTCCAGGTGGGTTCCGGCATCCATGCCAGGTGGCTCACCATCACCTGCAACTCAAGCTTCAGGGGTCTGAACACCACACATAGGCACCTGCGCTCATATGCGAACACACACACAGACACATTAAATAAGAAATAAAATAAGTCAAAAAAAAAAAAAAAAGAAAACAGAAAAGTTTCCTGTGTCCCTTTGCCCACATTCCCCGAGAGCACATTTACAAAACTATAGAATGTAGTCTCATGACTCACGTGTAAACACAGATCCGGTCCATCCAGACTCACACTCAGGCCGCCCCAGCTTCACTGTGCTTTTGTTTGGGGTGCGTTCTACACAGTCCTAACCTGGGTGCGTTCATGCATTCATCCCTATAGTCAAGCCCCACAAGGGACCTGTGAGATGGCTCGGTGGTAAAAGCACTTGCCATGAAGCCTGACGACCTGAGTTTGATCCCTGGGACCCGGATGGGGAAGAAGAAGAACAGCTGTTCTCTGACCTCCACACATGCTCTATGACACTGTGTGCACACGCACCAATAAAGGTGACATTTTTTAAAAGAGTCCCTTGTGCATATTTTTAGTACCATTTCCACTGCTCTCCTGCCCTCCACAGGAGCCCTGGTGACTTATTCTCCGCATTACTCTCTGCTCACGTCAAGAAAGTTGTAAGTGGAGCCGTAGAGCATGTGGCCATCACAGCGGCCTTTCTCAAATAGTAATGAGAAAAAGTGCTATTTGTGCTGCACAAGGCTAGAGATGGTGTCACCAGTGTCCCAGGGGAGCTGTGCCAGGATGGAATGTATAGTGAGAACAGAAAGAGAGTGCTGGTCACTAGGACTGGGCTCGCCTGAGAAGGGGAGAAACACAGCTAGCATTTCTTTGAGACGTACAGAAAGGAACATAAGAAATCCAGGGTGGCGTGCTCAGGGGCAGGGAATGGGTGAACACCAGTTAGCTGCCCTGCTGTGATTCCCGTGTCATGGTTGCCTCCTTGCAGAGGGAGAAATTGACTTTGCCCTGTGGGTCACACAGTGGATTCACCCCAGGCTTCTTTGAGTCCTCCCTAGCTAGGTGCCGAGGGCTCCTGAAGAAGGCAGCAGCATTTCTCTTGCTACTTGCAATGATGTTTTTCTCTTTCTGGAGGGAGAGCCATGTCTGACACGGAGGAGGTGGTGGAGGAGTATGAGGAGTAAGTATCGGGAGCATTCTGCCTCGCATGGGGTCTCCTCACGCCCATATCGGGAGCATTCTGCCTCGCATGGGGTCCCCTCACACCCATATTGGGAACATTCTGCCTCGCATGGGGTCTCCTCACGCCCATATTTGGAGCATTCTGCCTCGCATGGGGTCCCCTCACACCCATAATGGGAACATTCTGCCTCGCATGGGGTCTCCTCACGCCCATATTTGGAGCATTCTGCCTCGCATGGGGTCCCCTCACACCCTCCCTCGCATCCTTGTGGGAGTGGCTGCGCCTGTTTCCAGGACTTGGAGTTGGGATTTCTTCCCTTCATTCCCATTTCTGTAGCTCTGGTTAGCAGATCCCAGGCAACCTCAGACTGGGGACTTTAGGAAAACAGGATTCAGTTCCAGGACCAGGAGGGAAGCTGAGAAGCTGGGGCTGTTGACACTGTTAACAGTTAAACAGCTCTCCTGAGGCCACAGAAATGGTGGCCTCCCCTATCCTGTCCCAGACCCAGCATTATCACTCCTTTTTGGATCCCTAGTCCCTCACAGTGCCTTGTCTACAGGCCTGTCCTGGGGAAGCCAAAGGTGAGGTACAGTTAGGCAATCCGATAAGTATTCTGAGTAGAGATGTCACCAGGGAGATCACATGGACTCGCACAGACTTGCCTTTCCCTTTGGGCTGCTGAGATACAAACCTCGCAAGGACTTGATAAAAGGATGTACGGTGCAGAGATAGCCACGGTTGCACAGGAGCTCGGGGGAGAGGGAGAGTGGGCACAGGGTGGGCAGAGGCAGCTGTGTGGAGAAGGGAGGCTTCCCCTGGCCGCATTTGTAGAGAGACTTGGGAGAAAGGGGCCTTCTGAAAAGGGCACTGCCTGGGAGAATCTCAGAGGTGAGGTGAGAGGCGGAAGGAGGAAGAATGCTGAAGACACTTGTTGACTTAGATGTTTGCTGGGGATAGTGGTAGATAGTGCAGGCTAAGAAGGGTGGGTCAGGCTGCTGGGGGCCTTTGCAGGGCGAGCCGGAAGATGAAATGTCATTTACAGAAGAAAGAAGTGGGAAAGGGTTGGCTTTATGGAAAGGTCATTGTGTGTGCATGCGTGCGTGTGTGCGTGTGCGTGTGTGTGTGTGTGTGTAGCGTGTACACCAGTTTTGATAGCGTCTTCTTTTATCCTCAGGGAACAGGAAGGTAAGTGATCATGGGGACACCCACACTGATGGAGGACAGACCGGCTGGAAACTGACCCATCTCTTTTCTCTTCTCTTTTGCCCTGGTCTCTTCTGAACAGAAGCTGTAGAAGGTATGTAGCTCAGGCACATGGGAAGTAGAGAGGGGTTTTGGGAGGCCCGTGTTTCTGGGGAAACAGTTTGTCTTTCTTTGCCCTGAACTCCTAGCCGAGCAGACATGGCCCGATTAATCACTTTTGCATATATACATGTATATGTATTTATGTGTGTGGTGTGTATACAGCGTATTCTTTTTTTTTTTTACCATGAAAACTTTGACATCTATATAGACAACAAGAAAAGAATAATGAGCCCCACGGTCTCATCACCTAGCCTCTGCAAACAAAAATGGGTGACCAATAGTCATCTCTACTCCAGCTGATCCTGGCCTGTCTGAAGAGGCACCCCCAAACCATTCCCAGATCCATGCCTTACTAATTCCGCACATATCTTAAGATGTGGGCTGGAGAGATGACTGGCTGCTTTCCCAGAGGACCCAAATTTAATACCTGCTACCCTCAGGGTGGTCCACAACCATATGCAGCTCCAGTTTCAGGGTGTCTGACGCCCTCTTCTGACCTCTGTGGGCACCATACATACAAGTAGTTCACAGACGGACATACAGGCGAAACGTCCATATACATGAGAAGTTAAACTAAAAGTTAGACAAAATAAACACCACTAAACAACAGACACAGCCATAATGCCATGTACAAGCCAAAACCCATCCCAGTCATTGGTTTTGTTCTTTTGTTTTTTGTTTTTTCACGTGAATCTGAATTTGCTTCTTTACCTGGGACATTCTCTGTGGGCGTGAAGCTTTTTTTTACAACCTGGCAAAGATCCATCTTGCTGTCCCCTCCTTTTGGATATGGTGACATGTCACCCTCCTTGGCTTGGACTCTGCTATCTCTGGAAGCGTTCCCTCCGTCCTTCCTCCTGGAAGACCCAGAATGACCCTGTGGCTCCTGATTCCCACCCCACAGGCAGGCTGAAGCCTGGATCGCAGTGGTTTGGCTAACACATGCCATGTGTGGGAAAGGGTCTCTGATGATCTCGGGAGCCGCCCCTCTCCTGCTTCTCAGGCTTCCTGGGAAAAGTGAGGAGCCTCTTGCTCCTTTAAGTCTGTTCTGGGTCATGTAGCCAAATAGGAGCCAGGAGCAGGAAATACCATTTCCGATTTTTAGGGACCATTAGAAAAATCTCTCACCCTAGTCCACCTAGCATTCCACCGCTGAGCCAAATCTCCAAACCAAGGCTTTTTGTTTGTTTTTGTTTCTGGAGTTCAGACTGGTCTCAAGCTGTGGCGAGCCTCCTGCCTCAGCTTCAGTACTGGGATTACAGGCATGAGCCGGGAGTCACCATGTTCAACTTCAAAAACCATATTTTGAATCAAGAGCCCAGCTGCTTCCAACTTCCTCCATAGGAGGGATGCAGTCTGCTGGGGGATTCCTTCGCCTTGGAGGAATCTGCTGTTGACAGCAGGTTCTGGCTAGTAGGCTTTGGGAAATAGACTTCAGCCAGATCTGGGACCTTCAGCCTGGCTGCTACACACAGCAGGCTCTGTCTGGGAGTCAAAGTTCTTGGTGGAACGAGCTCTTGCAGTATGTGCATCTACCTCCCTTGTTCTGAATGGTCCAAGGCGTTGACTCTGGCTCAGAAAGCAAAGGTCTGGACGAGTGTCTGAAACCTACAGGCCAGACAGTGCTAAGGGCCTTTGTTCTAGGGGAAAGCATCTCCGCACTGCTGTTAAGAACTTTCTCCCTACCCCCCTTTTATCTTTTTTTGGATTTTTGAGATAGTGTTTCTCTGTGTAGCTTTGACTGTTCTAGAACTAGCTCTGTGGACCAGGCTGGCCTTCAACTTCACAGAGATCCACCTGCTGGGATTAAAAGTGTGTGCCACCACTGCTGGCTTCCTAAACTCTTCCTTAAGTAGAGATTTGCATTGAAAACAGTGGGGAAACAGGTAGTCTCCTCAGATTGCCAGCCCATGCCTTCCAACAGGCCAGGCCAGTTCCCTCGGTCCGGCTCCCAGGATGGCAGTCCGAGATGTGATTCTGGGAGTCTGTAGGCGTTTTGCGGGGTAGTCCCAAAACTCACTCAAGTCAGGCATATAAGAGAAGTAGGAGGAGAAGTGAATTTTTTTCCTGATACTGGGGTCCACTGTCTTCTGAGAGAGAAGCCGGGGCCGGTAGCCTAGAAGCAGGCTGGGGCTGAATGCTTTCAGGTGCCGGATTCCCCTCGGCGTTAGGCATTCTGCTCTCGGTAGTGGTTGGGAACTGACTGTCATGATGTCCATTCACTTGAGGCTTGGGGATGTCACTGAGGAATGAGCCTGCCATGTTGTTTGAATGTTGGCTTGAGGATCAGAGTTCAGTCCTAACTCTGAGCCGGCTGCCGCCTGCGCTGCCACCAGGCTTTCTGCTACTGCACACTAACCTGTTCCGCTTGCTCCCTTCGCTGCTGCCACCTCCTGCGCCCAGAAGAGGAAGACTGGAGTGAAGACGAAGACGGTAGTACAGCCTTCTCTGTCCTGTGCCTGTCCCTGCTCTCCTCTTCTTCCTGGGTTCTGGGCTTGGGCTGGGAAGTCCATGACTTCAGAGGGGCCAGGACCCTAAGACTTCTTGTCCATTCCTTCTTTTCTTTCTTGATTTTTCTCTGGGGTGGGCAGTGGGAAGGATCTGGCCCGTGTTTTCTCCCCCACTGGCTGCATGTGTGGTCACAGAGGGATTCTTACGGCAAGAATGGACCCCAACTGCTCCAGTATGCATGGTGGTGTTACATGTGGGGACCTTCCCAGTTTTGCCTAAGGCACAATGGCCAAAGGGTTAGGGCTCTGAGGACAAAGTCATTGCAGAGTAGCGGAGAAGACTACCAATAAATAGCCAGAGCAGAGAAGACATGACGTAAGCCTTCAGCTGTGTGCTGCTGAGCGGTGGGGTGAGGCTGGACCTGCTCCCAGGGATCACAGGAGGGCAAAGGAGACAGAAAAGACTTTAATTTTAGGACCAGCTTTCCCACGGTGACGTCCAGGGAGACTCCAAGTGTGCCCTGTTCATTGAGCTTCTGTGTGACCAATCACTGGGCAGCGGGCACATGACACAGAGAGATGAAGCCTAGGGTATATGGATGAGGTGCTAGCATAGTGGCTTCAAGGTGGACCCCATAACTGGCCACCCTCCTCTATTCTCATGCCATTGGCAAACCTCCTGCAGGGTTGAAAGGAGCACCCCAGACGTCAGTGTGGACCCAGTCCTTAGAAAGGAGGCCAGAGAAGATGGGCAGAGGGGGCGGAGGTGCCCGCTTTCCTCTGATGGTTCTGTCTGTCATGAGGTGTTTTCTTCTCCCTCTGCCAAGGGCCACCACTTGTCAGTCTATCCATCACCGAATGTTACAAACACTTCCGCCAAGCCGAGTCATGGTCTGTACGGCATCCTGCCTCCCTAATCTGTCTGTCCCTTCTGAATGTTGGGAGAGGCGGGGTCCACATCCTGCCAAGCAAATGACGAAAATAGAAATTCCTGGCAACCCTCTGGGTAGCACAACTCTTTAAATATTGGGTGTTTCGTCCACCCGGACAACCTCATGGCTTCGGTTTCTGTTAGACGTGGAGGAAGGGTCAATGGACTTGAGGAGTCACTGGGCTCACAACAGACTTTCCCCGGTACCCCAGTTTGGTCATGACCTGTCCTTCAGTGCCAGGCACAGAGTGGAGTCTCCAGGGTGAAAAGTTAGGGAAGATGAGGGAATCATATCACCAGGGTGGTCATAGGGGAAGCAGGTTCTAAATTGGGCAGAAAGAGGCTGGACAGGCCCTCAGCTCAGCTGGTCCCCAGTAGTGAGTCCTTCTATCTTCTATCACCGGTGTTTCCCATAGCACCCACCCCCCTACACGTTCCCACAGCAAATAGCTGGCTTGTCCAGCAGCCTCCTGGTGGCAAATAGGTGTCCACACCGGAGAAGACCCCATTCTGATTTCCAAACTCCCAGGGTGGCAAATTTGGGACACTTACCAGCCAAATGGTACCCCTCTGTTGGGTTTCACTTTTCCTGCAAAGGAGCAGACGGTGTACACTTCGGCTGGCAGCCCCGCAGCCCCTGCTGCCCTTCCTCACTTGTGGGCTTGAGGCATGGATGAGCGAGTAGATGAGTGAGCGAGGTTATGTGCCTATGAACCCTTGCTTACAGAAGAAGTGAGTGAGGTTATGTGCTATGAACCCTTGCTTACTGTAGTTGTCCTGGGCTGGCTGTAGCTGTGAGCTCTAGTTTGCTGACTTCTGGTTTAACCAGGAACGAAGCTGTGTTCCTTCTGTCATCTGAGGCCATAGCTCCCGAATCATGTGAAGCTGGATATTACTGGCCCTCTTTCACCCCTCCCAGGCTCTGTTTTGGGGGTGCTGTCTGGTTGCTGAGAGAAGGGCCTGGTTGTTCATGGTGTCTGGTTCACCTCTCTAGAACAAGAGGAGGCAGTGGAGGAGGAGGATGGCGGGGCCGAGGCTGAGCCTGAGGGTGAGGCGGAGACAGAGGAGACCAAAGCAGAAGGTACGCCAGGTGAGGGGACAAGGGGCTTGGGGTGGTGTTTTAAGACACATCCAGGTGCTAGAAAGCACTTCCGCTGGGCTGGGGAGGCAGCAGTCCATTGATGATTGGTGATCATCAATCCAGTGCCTTTTATGGTTGACCCTACACTAAATGAGGAGGCTCACCTGCTTGGCCATGGGCAATGCTCTCGGGGACATGAGCTCAGAACAGGACCTCTATTGATTGCTCGTGTTTTGTTTAGAGGTTGGCCTCGATGAAGAAGCCAAAGATGCTGAAGGTGAGAATTGCTGGATGCCAGCACAGGAGCTGGGTATGATGAGGGAACTTGCCATGGTAACCTTGTGGATGACTGTGCCTGGGAATTCCACCAGAAGTTACAAAGAAAAGGGTTGGAAGGCAGAACTGGGTGGCACCTGCAGGGCCTGGGAGGCTCTGAACCTTTGTCCTCTTTACCTTGGAGATGTAGCCTTAGTGACCAATAGGAGAGGAAATCAACATCTAGCCCCCTGGTCCATGCAGGGTAGTGGACTCAGAAGTCACCTTCACACCCTGGGCTCCTGGTACCCAGGCAATGCCAGTGAGGTCTGGTGTTTGTAGGACATAGATGGTTCATGCCGTGGTAACGTTATCATCAATGTCCTTGACGTGGTGACGTCATCATCAGTGTCCTGGACAGGCTGCAGCCTCTGTCAGTTGACCGTAGTCACTCATATACTGGGGTGGAGGGTTGGGGGGACAGCCAGCCCAGTCTTGGAAACATTCCCACTGGCTCCCTCGCCCTGTGGCCACCAGGAAGTCTAGGGCCCAAAACATTAAGGCAGACCTGGGACGTGATCTAGGATTGGAGCCCCTGGAAACCTTCCCATAGGCCCTTGCATGACTGTGGAATCTGAGAAACAATCTTCCCAGCCCAGAGCAGAGGAGAGAGAGCGCCATGGCTCCAGGTCTAGTGTGCCTGTAGACACAGTCACCGTCCTCTGTGGCCTCCCCTCCAGGCTCCCTTCATGCCCGTTGGTGATTATGGAAGTCCAGATTTGCCAGGGCTGGGAGAGAGGCCCTGTGCAGGTGGGGAAACAGAGACCCAAAGGTGTGCAGCTCAGGGTGGAGCTGGGCATAGAGTCAGGCTTGCTGAGTCCACACCTCCTTCTCTCTCCTTCAGATGGTCCAGCTGAGGAGTCCAAACCCAAGCCCAGGTGAGTGGGATGCACCTATCTGTGGTAGAGCCTAGGGGGCAGAGGCCATTTAGGGAGACTGACGAAGAGACAGGAGTGCGTGTGGTACAGCGAGACTGAGCAGGAGCTGTAGTAGACACAGACTACCACAGAGGGGTGATCATGTGTTATACTGCCTGCAGGGAAGAAAGTGAGATGAACTACGCACTACACCTCACTGCCAGTTATAGGCACACCAACATGGTTGGAGTTTCATTCATCTACAGACTAGGGAAGGGCTAGCCTTGGCCTTGGACAGACACACTGCCTGTCCCACAAGATGACCCTCTCGGCTGTGGTGGGTTCTAGGGGAAAAGGGATGTAAACTTTGGGGAATCAAGCAGTGAAACCATGACAACCTAGGCATGACAGTTTTGGGGAGCTGCGAAAGGGCAGAATGGGGTAGCTCCATCCCATCTGGTGGTTGTCAGTATGTGGCCTTTGGGACACGGAGCGGTTCCTTCTCGGCAATCCTTATCCTGCCAGCAGATGGCGCTGCAGCACACGCATGCCTCCAGTGGCCTATGTGGGTCTTAGCTCTGTTCACTCTCTGTGCTGGCTGTTTTGAGCATTCCAGAGCAGCTCCTTTTAGCTCCCGAAGGCCCAAGAGCATATGAGGAAATCAAGGATCAGAGATCCACCCAGGGACACCATCTAAGCTCAGCTCTTCTGCTTCTCAACTGTGTAGCTTTAAGCCTCCATCTTCCTAATAGAGGTCAGTGCTGCCCCCTTCTGGGATCTAGTGAGGGGACAGAATGAAATGAACCTCTGAAAATTCAAGCAAGTGAGGTAGGCGTTGGTGCTGACATCATCATGGAGGCTCCAGGATCACATAGTCCCCCCCCCCCCCGACCCACCCATTTGTTTTGGTGATCCCTGGTGACTCTCCATTCCTCTCTGCAGCAGGCTCTTCATGCCGAACTTGGTGCCACCCAAGATCCCCGATGGAGAGAGAGTGGACTTTGATGTGAGTGGTGATTGCTGGTCGAGCAGTTAGTTCAGCCTGGGGTGTGACAAGGGCTCGAATGGGAGTCACAGAGCTCCTGATCTTGGGGGCTGGGGCTGGGGCAACCCATTGGCCGGGTGGCGCAGGGATGGCTGAGGTTCAGGCCCCAAGCCCTGACAGTACCTTGGGCATTGAGCCCACCGTTTCACGGTGCGGCAGGCTTAGGTAGGCTCTCCCCACAGGACATCCACAGGAAACGCATGGAGAAGGACCTGAATGAGCTGCAGACGCTGATCGAGGCTCACTTCGAGAACAGAAAGAAGGAGGAGGAGGAGCTAATCTCTCTCAAAGACAGGATCGTACGTGTCTGATTTCCACAGTCCTCCCTACCCTCCTTCCCCGGCTGCCGCAGCCTGCCTCAAGCAGCCAACCTGTGGGCTGCTGCTCCCACTGGGTCCCTGCCACCTGCGTCAGTGTGGCTACTCCTCGTCAACAGGAGCCTGAGAAGTTCTGGCTCTAGCTGGGCCTAACCGGACACCGCTAACCGTGGGATGACAGTCGAAGGCCTGTGTTCTCCCTCTTCCTCTTTCCTACCCACGGGGCATAGCTGCCTCCTGAACACAGGACACGCGGGATCAGCCTGTGGAATCCTGGGTGACTCCCAGAATTCCACTCTGAGAGAGGAGACTGTTTGATTCCTTGTTTTTCTCTACCCAACCTGCGTTCCTCAGCTGTGTACAGCAACCCTTATCTTTGAGCACAGAGAAGCTGCCAGGCCTGGCTCTGGAGCCAGAATGTGGATTTTGTCCTTGAGGGAGACGAGAGAAGCCGCTCGGCATCTCCCACAGAGTTGAGACGGCTTCCGGGCTTCCGAGAGGCTTTCTTACCTAGGCAGGACGCTCTCCTGGAGCCTCCACCTGTGATGGGCCACTTCCATCGCATCCCTGGAGTGGCTGAGAACAGAGACACGTGGAAGAGCCTCCTGATTCCTGTAAGGGGATAACACCCCTCATGGACACACACAGGCATTCCTCTCTCTCTCTCTCTCTCTCTCTCTCTCTCTCTCTAGGAAAAGCGACGGGCAGAACGGGCCGAACAGCAGCGCATTCGTAATGAGCGGGAGAAGGAACGGCAGAACCGCCTGGCTGTGAGTGACCCTAGCCCAGCCCTTGAGCCCCTGACGTCCAAGTGTCCTCTCTAGTCACAGACATCAGTTCTAGAGGTAGCCTTTGTCACAGAAGCTCAGGTCCTTGGCTCAGTATTGTCAACACACAATGAACAGGACAGACGTGCTGGGGTCTTGTGCTCATGATTTTAAGACCCTCCAGCCCCTGCCCTTTCCCTAGCACAGGACAGATGGGGACAGAGGGCCTCTCAGCCTGGGAGGGATGGCAGGATTTTACAGATGTGAGTCAGTGCTTCGTGAACTCATTCACACAACAATTCATCCACCCGTTCAGGAAACTCCAATATGCCCGTCTTGTGCCACAGGGCACCTCAGAAAGTTCCTTGTCCAGTGGGAAGCAAGCTGGTCTCATTTGTAAAAAAAAACGCCAGCTTTATTCCAGAGTCTGGTTTCCCACCCTCGCCATTAATGTATTCATTTGCTCTCCCTGAAACCAGGAAGAGCGGGCCCGGCGTGAGGAAGAGGAGAACAGGAGGAAGGCCGAGGATGAGGCCCGGAAGAAGAAAGCTCTGTCTAACATGATGCATTTTGGAGGGTACATCCAGAAGGTAGGTGGAAAGCAGCACTGGGCACCAGGAGATCTCAGTGTATCCTCAAGACTGCCTTTAATGGGATCCATGAAGAAATTCCCAGCTGCTGTGGCTGAAGTCTAAGGTCTCCCCATGCTTAGCCCCTGAGCTAGCTGTCAGCCTGACCATGATGTCACTAGGATGGGTCTCCTGTGGTGAAGGTTAGAATGCTAATATGCTTCCTCATGCTGGCTCCCCAGGGTGCCTGGGTGCCACCCAGAGAATCTTGGGTCCTGGAGTCAGACCTCTGGTTAAAGACCCGATTCTGACACATACAGCAGCATGGCCCACGCTAACATCTGGTCCTGTTTGCTCACATGGCCTAGTATTGCCTGCCCTGCAGCTTCAGAGAGGTGACGAGCTGACGTGGAACGTGTGTGCTGCACAGATGTGGGGTGATTTGCTGACAGACACTCACTCATGATGTCCCCTCTCTCAGGACTGGGGCTTCATTTGCCTTCTTTCTTTCTTCATCTTTTGTTTTGTTTTGCTTTTTGGACAGTGTTTCACTGTGTAGTCTTGGCTGTCCTAAAACTCACTATGTAGACCAGTCTCGCCTCGAACTCACAGAGATCTACTTGCCTCTGCCTCCCGAGTGCTGGGATTAAAGGCAAGGGCCACCATGCCCAACCAGGCCTGGCTTTCTTTATGCAGGGAGGCATCAGCATCAGAATATTTTGTTTTAGATATCCTAAGTCCTCAGCTCTGCCGCCCTGACTCTATCCTCACAGTGGCCACACCAGGCAAATGTTATCAACATTTTACTTCCCATAGCCCCAGACCTGTGCTTGGCACAGCAGGCAGCCCCTGCTGAGCAGCCAAATCACTTTGTCCTTCCTGTCTTCCTGTCTCCCACCCTGCTTCTCTCCATGTCTCTGTGGCGGTCTTGGTCTCTCTCTCTGGGTCTTTCTCTCATGGTTTCCCGGTTTAGCAAGCTCAGGTGGGTACAAAACCTTGAGTCCTCTTCCTCCACCCTTTAGCTGTAGAGTGCTCCCTGGGAGGGGAGCACACCTTGTTGGAGGAGGAGTTGTGGGAGGAGGGAGTCTGGAAGAGCCTGGTAAGGCACTTAGGCCCCTCCTTGCCCCCACCTCAGTTTCTCCGGGGGAATTTAGAAGGGGACAGTGTGTCATGTTGCTAGAGCAAGAGAATGGGAACCTGGTGTTCTGAAGACCTGGTCCTCCTTCCCAGGGTGTTGGGAGGGTTAGGGGACAGGGAGGAGCCATCTTTAGACAAGTGTCCCTGCTCACCACCGCTGCAGACAGAGCGCAAGAGTGGGAAGAGGCAGACCGAGCGAGAGAAGAAGAAGAAGATCCTGGCTGAGAGGAGGAAGGTGTTAGCCATTGACCACCTGAATGAAGACCAGCTGAGGTGGGCCAGTTGGCTGGGTGAACCCTGGCACTCTTCTGTAGGGCGGGGTGGAAGGTACTTCTCGATGTGAACCGCCAGGGGGAGTTACTCCCTCACGCATTTCCCAAGGCTCATTACTAGGGGAGGCCTCCTTGTGTGAGCTCTCCTGGCAGGGAAAGAGACTTGAGGAAGCTCGTGGGAAGGATGATTGAGCTAGATGCTCTACAGCACCAGGCGTGCTTCTTCACAACCCCAACGACTCTCAGAACTCGTGGTCTCTGTCCTTGGACACCGGGCACAGTGGCTGGGACGCAGTTTCAGAACGGCCAGGCCCACGGCATAGGCTGGAGGCGCCCTCTGCCGACCTAAATGTGCAAGGACAGGCTGAGGGACCGTGTACGCTGAATCGCGGCCAGGGTGAAAGCCAAAGACAGGGTAGGGTTTATGGCTCCTCACTCCTCTCTCCCTGTGGCTCCTGCAGAGAGAAGGCCAAAGAGCTATGGCAGAGCATTCACAACCTGGAGGCGGAAAAGTTCGACCTGCAGGAGAAGTTCAAGCAGCAGAAATATGAAGTGAGCTGCTCACTGTGCCCGTTCTTCTGCCATGGTCTGGTGTGACCTGGTCCCCACCACTGCTGACCCGCAAGGCCCTTTTCCTGTCCCCCATCAGTCCACTCAACTCACTCACCGTTTTTTCCTCCTCCCCCTTTGCACCTTTGCTTCTACACTGAACCCCTCCCTTCTCCCAGACCTCACTGAATGAGTCCCAACTTTATCCTTTATCTTCCCCGCTTTTCTTCCAGATCAATGTTCTGCGAAACAGGATCAACGACAACCAGAAAGTGTAAGTGTCGCCTGCCTCCCTCTTTCTCATCCTGCTGTGAGGGTTCGAACTCCGGCCCTTCCTCTTCTCCCTCAGTTCACAGCTTTCTTCTTTGCCCGGCCTTCACCACTGCTTGTCTGTGCAGGGTGGGATGCGGTAGGGGGCAGGGTGGGAGAACAAGGCCGTTGTTATATTCTATCCTTGCTCCAGGATGTTCGTCTCAACCCTTAGCTTCCCTTAGCCCATCCTCTGCCCCATTGGAAACTGCCTCCCCCCACTCCCACCATCTGATGGATTCTGCTTTTCCCGCAGCTCCAAAACCCGTGGGAAGGCCAAAGTCACTGGGCGCTGGAAGTAGAGACAGCGCTGCTCTTGCCAAATCTCTGACCTTTGCCTGAGTCCCTGCCCTGGGCATCCCAGCTCGGGTCCTCCTGGGCACCCAATGCAGACTCCTGTCTGGAAAGTGAGCGCTGGGCTAGCTAGAAGCCAGTCCTCGTCCTGACCCCTATGCCCATACCACTCCAGGAATAAAAGGCCAGCACACTGCACATGCAGAATGGTATTTCTGTCATTTCGCTCAAGTGTTACGGGGAATCAAGACCCCCATATTTGCCCAGCTCGGAGGAACTTATGCCCGTCTGGTCTTCTTTGACCCACCTACAGCTTCTACCCACCTCCGGGGGAGAAACTGATGCCTGAGTAACCCACATACATTCTCAGAGCCCAGGAAGGAGGCGCGAACAGTGGACAGGGTTTGTGATTTTAGCCTCTGTGAGTCACCAGGGACAGCATACTGGGGAAGAGGGCTGTCACAAGGGGAGGGAGCATTCCCCATGTGAGTCATTTGCTGGAGAACAATGGAGCCTTTTTGGATGGTTCCTGTTTTCTTTCTCCTCCTGGCCTGGGCACTAAGAGCCCACTGTCTGAGGGGCAGGGAGCCCTTGAGGAAGGAAGGAAGGATGGTTTCATTGGGCAGCAGTTCAGGCCAGGGCTGCCAAGAGGCTTAGGCTAGTCTGAGTGCCTCGGTTTCCCCTTTCCCATGATCTGCATATCTTCTAGGGCTTAAAAATCCCAGAGCTAAGAGGACAGCATGGTAGCACAGTTTCTGAGCAGATGGACAGGAAATCCACAAGAGACAGTAGAACACCTATTCAACAGCTCTCTCGGGCAACACCCCAAGGGGGCAGGTTCCCCTGTACCACCAGGCCCCCTTCAGGCCTCCTTCTGCTGGAATCTTTCCTCCTGTTTTCCCTTTGCCATCAGTAACACCTCGTGAGTCCTGCCTCAGAACTTGCTCCGTGATCTCCCAGGCATAGTGGATTTACCTCTCATTGCGCTGAGCATCTGGACTCAACTTTTGTCTTCTAGCGTACACCATTAGATCATTCTGTCCCTATAGACATCACTTGTCCTGTTTTCTGGATACCATCCTCCCTATTTATCCTGAGCTATGTGCCTGCCACAGACATTAGTGGTGCAGACATGAAAAGAACATGGTCCTAGGGGTTTAACCTGTGGGTCGTGGCTTCACTTACTCATCCATTTCTATTAGTTACTATTCTTGTTGCTGTGATAAAAGTACCAGACAGAAGCAACGTAAGAAAGGAAGAGTTCCTTTTGATTCACAGTTTAAATAATGAAGCACACAGTCCATCATGGTGGGAAAACCGCAGGAAGGAGCATAAAGCAGCTTGTTCATATCTTTATGGATCAGGAAGCACAGACAGCATAGACAGAAGGTGGAGCTGGCCTATAGTCCTCAAGTCCCACCTCCAGGGCCTCATGCCTGCCAGTTAGGCCCCACATACAAAAGGTTCTACAGCCTCCCAAGCAGTGTTGCCATTGGAGAATGAAGTGTTCAAATACACGAGCCAGTATACACGTGGGACAGGGCAGTGTGTGTGTGTGTGTGTGTGTGTGTGTGTGTGTGTGTGCTGTATTTTACATTCAAACCATTTCATACCCATCCCTCGGTAACTATGTCCTGAGTTGTGACCTGATGCTGGACACTGTGCCGGTCACAGAGTGACTGTGAAGGGCATAAAAGGTGCAGATCGTAGCAAGCAGGCGGCTTCTGGAGAGAAGTGTATCTGCTGAGTCCTAGTGGGAAGGAGGGGACGTTAGGAGAGAGGTGTGCCTGGGAGAGTCTATAATTCTTAGACGCAGGAGGCAGCCTGTTCTCCTGCTCTGAACTCCCCCCAACCATATCTTCTCTCCTAAAGTCATCAGGAGTCTTGGGAAGATTTTTTTCTTTTTAAACTCAAATGTTCACCATTTCTTTGTAGTGAGGCTATTTGTTGTGAGCTTTTGGCTCTCGTAGTTCCTGATGTCCTGACCCCAGTCCACAGTTACCTTCAGTTACCCTCAGTCCTCAAGAAGTATGAACACAAGTAGCTGAAAAAGGTATCAAGACAGGTAGGGGCAGGGCAAAAGAGAAGGGGGAACATTCAAATAACTTTTCTTAATTATCGCATATTACTACTATGGGTCTATTTTATTGTGGCTTACTTTGTTAGCCTTTTGCTGTGCCTAGATTATAAATGAAACCTAAGTGTGTGTAGGAAACCATCACATATGCAGGCAGGGCTTGGTACTGCCTTGTTTTAGGTGTCTAGTAGGTAAGGTCTTTTTCTCAGAAAACACGCAACACACAGTACATTATTATTAACTGGTGGAACCCAATAACATACCTGCCATCCCCTGCCTTGCCTTTTTACTCTCTCTTCCTATTAGCTCCATCCTTCTAGATTCTATAGCCAAGTAAGATCTTAACAACATCTTTCCGTGAGCCTGGCTGAAGTCCCTAGTCTTCTTAAGTCACGCAGCATTCAAAAAGTGGAGCCCAAGGAGGTGGCCCTGTCCTCTCTCACTCATGGAGGAGAGAACAAGAGAATGCCGGAGTACAGGGTCATACCTAAGGGATGAGCCAGGGCAGGGAGCTCTCCTAAGTTCTACAGACAAGGGATGTGCTGAGGCCAGGTGGTCCTCCACATTATCCCTGGTATTTCTAGGGAACACAGAGGCCATGGACATGCGCACAGAAACACCCAGAAAGATTCCTGAGCCCGAGTCTCCAGCCTTGTTTGTTTTATTCATCCCACACATTGTTCTTGTGTTGACCATGAAACTGGGTCTAACACCGGAGGTTCAAGGATGGTCAAGATGGGCTGGGCCCCTGACTACCTAAGAGCTGGTGAGGGTGTCAGGGAGGCGGGGGTAGGACCAATGCACACTTGACACCCTGACTCCTGCATGCCCATCTTTCTTGTACACCCCCAAGAACAACCTCTCTACCCACCTCGGCTTTAATCTTGCACTGCTCTGGGTCCCTGACCCCTCGCCTTAGGGAGCTCTCAGTGCCCTATGTCCACTCACATGCTTCACATGGCCCTGGATTGAAGAAGTAGACATCTTTGCTCTATCTTGCCAACAGATTTGCTCTCATGCCCCTACGTTTGCTGTCAACTTTGTGTCCTGGGCAATTGTCTTCCAAGTACATGGTCAAGACTGTCCCGTGCTGAGCTTGCTTTCAGGCAGGCCTCTGCCTCTGACTGTGCAGCACGGTTTCTGGAAAACTTGAGACAAAAACTTAACTTTCTTGGGTTCATTCTGGTAGGGGACAGGGCTCAGGTTGGGGCCCAGAGTCAAGTCCTCTGAATGGCCTCCCTTGGAGTTGGGAACTCCAGAAACTGGAGTCCAGGTATCCACAGGACGATCGCTGGCACTTGCCTATCTGAGCGTGACCTCTCTCTCTCTCTCCGAAAGTTCAGCCTGTCTAGCAATCCTACCAGGAAGGAGATGGGGTATGAGAGGGGACCCTGTTATTCACCCCTTCTTTACACTTGGGCCTTGCAGATTGTTACAGAGTCGGAGTCTCCTGTGAACTCTGTGGGTAAACCTGGGGTCAGGGCACAAAGTTCGAGTCCAGGGACTCAGCTCCCATTGCCTCCTCTTGGTGGGTGGCTGGGATGGAGCCCACAGCCATTCCTATGCCCTGGATGGGTGAAGGGTTTGGGGATCATGGAAGTCACTGCCTAGGGCTGTTGTAGCTTCCATCTGATAGCAAGAAGGGGGACAGCATTCTTTCAAAAAACTTAAAAAAAATTACAGTGTGTGTGCACGTGTGTGCGTGTACACATGTGTGTGTGTGTGTGTGTGGTGTGTGCATATGTATATGTGTGAATATCAGAGAACAGTTTACAGGAGTCAGTTCTTTTCTTCTACCATGTGGGGCCAGGGATTCACCTCGGGTCTTCAGACTTGGAGCAGGCACACTGAGTCAACTCACAGCTCCCTCCACCCCCATTTTCATCTGCTCCTGCCTCTGCGATTTCCCACCTAGCCTTGCTGCTGCCCCCTCCCAAGTTCACTCGGCCCCATTTCTGTGGGCTGTGGCCAGTCCCTGTTTCTCGGGCCATGTCCTGAGTGCTTCTTGTTTCCCCTGGAAAGGCCTCGGATGAATTGCACGGAGGATTTACCCCCCCCACCCAAGGTGATTCCCTGAAGTCAGCTCTGGGTGCCCCACTCAACCCTCCCTCCCTAGCTCCACCCACCACACCCCAGGTTCTCAGCCTCCACCCCAACAGCTACAGGAATTTAAATTGCTCTCAATTGAAGACTCAGGAGAAAAATGTTTCCACACTTGTGCAAAGCACCCAGGCCCTGGGGAGTGGGTGTGCGTTGCCGTCTCCCCATCCCACCCCGCCCTGACCCTACTCCACCCTGTGGCTCCGCACTCAGCGCTGGCCAGGGCCACAGGAGCCCCACCTTAAGCCCATGCCAATCTCAGAGTAGCTTCCTCTGGAAAGTCAGGCCTGGGCAATGGAGAGCCTGGGCCAGGCTGGGGTGCTCTTGAGGAAAAGCAGTGGGCAGGCATGGGGTGGGGCGGTTCCCAGGCTGAGACCTGCTGAGTTGGTGCTGGGCTAGCAGAATAGAGTGACAGTTCTGGAGGCCTGTTGAGGATGAGCTGTCTGGCTTCATCTTCTTCCCATGCCCTGCCAGCTCCCAGAAGAGGCCAGCAATTGGGGTGAAGGTTTAAGGGAATGAACAATGTTTTCCTTGACCCAGGGGACCCGTTAGCTTGGTGTCTCTCACTGACTTAGGTCCTCACAGGGAATAAGGGAGTGAGTGATCTATTCATTCTGCTGAGACCCAAGGTATAGTTTCTGAGCTATGGCTATTACTAATAAACAATGTTTGTCGCCAAGGACTCAGTGGCTGTAGTGTGCTGGGTGCTGTGCTGTGTAAACTCTAATTACAATAGCACCCAAAGTTAGGTCCTGCATAAGTCAATCCATTTTATACACAAGGAAATTGAGGCCCAGAGAAGTTAGGTGACTCATCCTAGGTCACATAGGGCAGGGATTACTTCTGTTATGATTGCACATAGGATCATTTTTATTATGATTTTAGATTATTTGCACAACACGCCTTCTATTGAATGAAGTCACCTATCTGATGGAGACGAAAGAGGTATGTTTTCAAGAAATTCGTACTCCAGCCAACAAATATTCAAATGATTTCTGATTCTGCAAAGCAACATCTGTGG